TTTTTAAATTTTCACTAACAAGTCCCGCCAGGCGCTGCTTTCCCAATGAAGTAATGAGCGTGTTTTCAGACGAGGGGGCACATCTCCCCGGCACTGCCGCCGCTGAAGGCCGGGCAGGCTCGGGCAGGGCGGAGGTGCCTCGTGCAGGCCGCCCCTCGGCATCAGCAGGGCGTGACTTGCGTTTTGGCCTCTCGTGAGTCATCCTTTTTTTCCCCTGAAACCACAGAAAGGTGGGGCGATGGGGGGTGGGGGTAGCCAGGAGTTGGTTATTGGAACGTGCAATTAGTTGTTTTAGCATCTGCGTTGATACCACAGCAAATGGATTGAGGAAATTTGGCCTTAACAAGACGGGATGTTTGTCTCTGGCTGGCCCCGTGTCCCGGGGGGCTGGCCCGGGCCTAGCAAGGTGCCCGTGCGTTGGTGCTTTTTGCAGGAGACGGAAGAATGGACAGCAGCATCAGTCACACACAAACCCTTCAGAGCATCCCTGAGCTTTGTAACTGAGTGGTGGCTTCTAGGCATGGTTTTGTTTCTTGCTTCTTGGGTGCATTGACTGCAGTAACGTGTTTTTCTGGGACACGAGGCAGTGAAAGCTACAGCTTCGTTCTCTGTGTCCTCTGGAAACTCAAAACACGGTGGTGGTTCTTGGCTTTATGGAAAAGTCCTCCCAGCCCCAGCAGGCTTGTTCTGATCTTAAGGCATTGAAATTACTAAATTATGATCCTGCTTTTGCTTAAATCATCCTGAAAGATTCGCAGCCTCCGAGAAGTTGTCCACAGTTAGTTGTTTTCAGAGTTGCGTTGAATTGCTTTCTCTTGCGTATTTTGGGGAGAAAAAGGGTATTTTTTCTTTTCCTCCGTAAAAAACCTGTAGCAGTATTCCCAGCACATTTCAAGAGAAAAGTTGACTAAAGTCAATTTTGCTTTAAACACTGAAGATAAAATTTTATAGCGTCTGCAACGGATCTCCAGTAAAAATATTTGTGACGTTACTTTACTTGGTATGGGATATCAGTGATCAACACCTGGTTTCCAAATACTGAATTTGGTATGTAGTAGGTACTAGCCTTTTTTACAAGCTGTTAGTAGTTGGCTGTTCCTTAGGGATGCCACAGAACTGCGTATTTCAGACCCTTTTCAGTCCTTTCCCTGCCTGCCATGTGCTGTCCGGGCAGGCATTGAGGTCATTGGGCAGGCGTTGAGGTCATTGGGCAGGCGTTGAGGTCATTGGGCAGGCAGATGCCTATAGCCGTGCCAGGTTGCCATTCCCCCTTCTACCCTCGCCCATGTCTGCAGCCCGAGTTTTCCTTCTTCCTAGCTTTATTGGCGTGCATATTTTCAGATTAAAACTTGCTTTTTGCTCCCAGTTCTGGAACCTGTACGTCCTCCCATCACTTCCAGCTAGTCTTCAAAGAAGATGCCAGCTCCCAGGCCAGGTTCATGCAGGAGTGCAGGACAGGGGGCAAGGGTCTCTCAAAAAACTTTTCTCAAAGAGCTACCTGGCCTGAGAAAACAGGGCCTATGGCCCGTTTCTTATTTCTTCACTCACAGCGAGCTGGGTTTGATTTGCTTGGCTACAAGTTGAGGTGCAGTGTAGCCCCCGGTTTGCCTGCAGCCTGCCCAACCTGCCAGCAAGTTCAAAATCATCAAGGGTTGAACAAAATATTATGGACTCTGCTATCTTTGGGAAGTGTCCAGCACTGAATCTGTGTGCAGGAGCCAGGCTCCATCTCAATGTCTCTTTTTTCCTCTAGGTTTAGAAGAAAAAACAATTCTTTCTAAAAAAGAAAAAATGAAGATGAGGAAAGAAAGATGGCTACAGAGTAAGTACTCCTCCGAAGCACGGTGGTACCGCAGGCATCACGGAGTGTGGCTCTGTTGGATCCCTCTGTACGTGGGGTGTGAGTGGGAGTGTTGGGCAGTGTCGGGGGAGGCTGAATGCTTCTCAGAAACCTTCACATCTGCTCCCCAGCACATGGGGTAGAAGTCCCAGGTATTGTTTCTCAGTGTTCAGCACCAAGATCGAGTCATTGCCCCAAACCTACTTTTGATCTTCCTCCATGCGTAAATGTAAGTGACTACATAAAACCTTTCTTTATCCAGATAGGACGCTGTGCCCATGTAGGTTTAGCATGTTTCTCTATCTTTTAAAGCTCTGATACGGATCTGGCTAGCTGTATAGCAGAGCTGCTCCTCCGTGAGGAGCTGTGGGCACAGTAGAACAGGCTGGAGCTGAGCCTCACGCAGCCACCAGCTCATCCCAGGCCCCTGTGTTGAAAGCCTGCAGTGGGCCCTCCTGCCCTTCAGAAAGGGAGGTCTCTGGATGCTGCTGGTTGCGTTACTGCCCTTTCCCATGTACCACAGGTCAGTGAACCCACTTAACAGACAGTCTGGCCTTTCTCGAGGTTGTGAAATACAAACTAAACAGAACCATCACATGGCAGAAATGCTTCTTGTTTCCTGTGGGAAGTGTCTGTGTTTTTGCTTCAAGTATCTCAGCACAGTAAGAGACACCCGGTGTAGCAGAGGGATTCCTCTTGCCACCTGGAGCTGTTCTTGGGACAGGCTTTTCCCTTAACACCTTCCTGCCCAACAGAGTTACTGACAGCCTGTGCTTGGGGCTGAGGGATGGGGTTTCTGCCGCACTATATGCTCTCTGCTCCTGAGCTCTGAGCTCAAGTCCATCACCCTGTGATTTCACCAGTCACAGTGAAGGTGTTTCTGGCTCCTTTTACATAAAAAGCTGATAATTTAACACCATGAGCGTGGAGGAAACCTCCTCCCTATCACCAGCCAACAACTCCCAAGTGCCTTTGACATCTGCAACCCTCGGTGTCCCTGTTGGGCACAAAGCGTAGACGGCTGTGCTGGTCCGAACGTCTGGCCTGCTGCTGCAATTTCAGTGCTCCTAAAGGTCTCTCCTTGCCTGATACTGCTGTGGGAACAGAGGAGGGGACTGCTGGAGCACAGCTGAGCTTTCCTCCCCTGATACCAGGACTGGTACCAGGTGCTGTGGAGGAAGGTAAGTCCTCAACAGCATTTTATGACAGAACCCACAGTAAAAGACGTACATGGGACTTGTGTCTTCTGCAAGAAACAGAGGGCACGCTCCTGCAGTCAGGTGATGGCACTGCTCCCATAGTGAGGGAGAAAGGAAGTAGGAAAAGCCCAGGAGCAGGATCCCTACACTCTCTTAATCCTGCCTGCCAGCATATATGCCTTTGTAGCATCAGTCTTTCTCAAGATCACGTATGTTATTTTGGCCCTGCCGTGGCCTCTTTCCTCCTCTCTTGTCTCTGAAGTTACTAGGCTGAGGGAATACAAATGAAATGCAGAGGCTTTGCTTTGGCGAGAACACCCAGATGGGAAACTTCAGGCCAAATTATCTCTGTCTTAGAAGATAGTAGGTATCTGAAGTGCTTTACAGATACAGAAGTACCTAAGTTGTTTGCTCTCCTAACTCCCCCACTAAACTTGTGGCCAGTTGGCAAATACCAACTTGCAAAACTTACCAAATATCCTTGCTAAGGATAGCAAGTACCCAGGGATTTCTGTAAGAAAAGTCAGTGAGTGTTAGTACCAGGTGTGCAGCTTGTTACAGAGAGAAATGGAATAGCTGGAAAGAGCCTATATAAACATCAATAAAGAAACTGGTAGTATTATTATTAGCTGATGGAGTGAAATGAACTGGTATTTCCAGAGATGGCGATTTTTAAATGAAACTTGGCATTCTAACATCATGACCTTAAAGCAGCACATTGATTTTTATTTGATGCGGATAAATCTGCCACCACTTTGTGGGTTTTGCAGTCTTTGCCTGCTCCTTGCACCCCAAAAAGAGAACCCAACTGGGACTGCTAAAATTGTTATCATCACATCTCTGTTTTCCTAAATCTTCCCAAGAGTTTGTTGTTTCTTCTTGTCCCAGGGCTGCTTTTGTGACACTGGATGCCAAGACCCTGGGAACTAAAGTGCAGCCCAGTAGTGCAAACGCAAAATTAGAGATTTCTTCCATTCCAATAAATCATCTCAGGAGAGACTAAAGAGGGAAAAAATTTATGCAATGCTTCAGACATTAGAAGTATGCACATTTAAAAATATATATATATCGCATGGCTCCTCAGATGAACAAGACTTCACAGGAAAAGAATTTGGGATGTTTGCGCAGAATCAGGTGTCTGAAAATTTTGAGCACATAACTGTTTATGAAAGCAGTGAAGTAGTCAGCTTCATAAAGCCAGACCAAAAAAAGAAGTGATGCAGAACAGAAAGCTATGTTCTTGGCAGGGATTGCTGTGAGGAGAAGCGTTTACAATCCAGATTTGTCGCAAACATCCAAGTACAACAGAATTGCAGTTCATGAAAAACTGTTGCACTTTGACTCAGCTGAGTTGGGGAGTGAACAAGACAAAGACATTTCAGGAGCCAGTGGCTAGCCAGTGAATTTGAGTTCTGCTGTCTTAAATCTAGGCAGCAGGATTAGACCCGGAATTGCTGGTGGCATCTTGCCTTTGGTCTGTAGAGTGGGACTGGCTGCTTTTGTGTTCCTACCAAAAATACTTGTGCTGATTTAGTCCTGCTTCCTTGGCCATGCTGCATTGGAAGCCGTTGGCCTCCCTGTGTCGCCAGCTTGGCCCCACGCTGCTGGCACTGTGCTCCGTCGTGTCCAGAGAAGGAGTTTCTAGCTCAGCACTGGTGCTCATCCTTGCAACATGCTCATTGTCCAAGGCAATAAGCAGAAGCCTGCTCTTCCGCTGCGGCCTCCGCCGGGTGCACGTGCAGGAGGTGGAGTCCTCCAGTGTACCCTGCAGCACTGGTACCCCTCACGGGTGTCAAGGCAATGCGGTGGGTTTCCAGGTCCAGTGATCACCTGGCAGAAGGAAAGGGAGCTCAGGGATTGCACTGAGCTCTGGTTGTTTCTTGTGGCATCGTCAAAGGACTTCTGGGAGAGGTTGTGGCATCTTGGAGCTCAGCTGGAGGCTTGTAGCAGTGGTGGGCTTCTGTGGGCTGTCCTGGAGGAGAACATGATCTGCTGGGGCTCGCCCTGATGGCTGCTGGCTCTGTAAGGCTTGGACAGCTGGGGGACCTATTTCTACGCCAGGGAGCTGTCCTGGTTTCAGGCTAAACCACAACAGGAGCCTCAAGGACTGAGGCGGAAGCCTCCCATGGCCAAGAAGGGAGACTATTGTCACACTTGTAGAGCCTTATGTGCCCACAGCCTTGCCCAGAGCTGCTGCAGGGAGACTGGTAAACACGGTGTCGGGGAAAAGCCAGCTGCCTCTGGTGCAGTGCTTTTCTAAGGGCCCAGTTTATCCAGCATCTGACTGGTTGAGCTCCCCTATGAGTCATGAAGGTGAGACCTTGACTTGCTCCAAACTAAGCAAACAGCTGAAATTAAGTCAATTTTTTTTGGCCTGTGCTAGGAGACCATTGTTTTGTCCTGGCAGCAAAGGAGAGATGGGCCTGTGACTGTTTAATGCCACATGTGGAGCTGACTGTATTTGGTCTGTCTCTTCCCCTCTTGTTTCTCTCCTCCAATTCCATGCAAGGTCAGCATGTTTTTTTCCCACCCCAGGACTCCTGTGACATGTTGCTGTGAGCAATGAACAGTCTCGCGCACCATGGTGCAAGGGGTGGAAATAGTTCAGCCAAAATCAGTCTGAGGAGTTCATTTAGAGATGTATGTAGTTGTAAGAAAACACAACAAAGGAGGGAACTGCCCAGCTGCATTATTTTCAGTCTTTCCCTGGTTTAAATCACTTCTGGCCTGTTGTTCTGTAGATGGTGAAGCAGCCTATGAATTTCTTAGCTCAAGGGCTCTCTCTTGCAAACATTTCCCCTTCCTCCAGTAATGTCTTGCTTCTAATTCAGAAATAGAAAGTGTGAAACTAGCCAAGCAGAAGCAAAAAGCTGAAGCAAAGCGGAAAGCAACACCTGTGGTGGGAGACATGCAGCCGTTGATGGAAGCCCTACCTGAGCTCTCCGACCTGACCACAGGTGGCAGGAAGCCACCCAAGAGGTATGTGCCATTTGGGGATGGGCCATGTGTTTCCCTTTTTCCTGCAGGACAAAGTGCTCTTCAGCTCAGCTTGTAGCTGCAGGCAATGAAAACTTGGTGCCAGTGGTCGGGAGAACGGGCCTCATCCTCAACTCCATTTTGCTCCTTTCCATGCTTCACTTGCCACAAGACAGCTTAAATGTGTCTTCTGAATCCACAGCTAAGAGGGAAACTGTATTGCTCGTATGAGTCTTGGCATGAGACAGGCTGGGAGCAACCAGATGTCCTGGGAGTTGCAGGAGTGACACACAGGTGTCCAGAGTGTAATGCTGCTGAGCTCACCTGGGAATCTGGGCTTGAGGTGTGTTTTTTATGGTGAAAATTGTCCTCAACATAACTATCAGCAAATGGTGTTTGACTCAATAAGAGAAATCCGTTCTTTTCTAGCAGGTTATATCTGCAGCATTCAAAGGGGACAAATTATTGTATTGCAAGTGGCGAAGACTGGGATACTGGCTTGCCCAAATTCACACAGCTCAGGTGTGACAGAGGGGAGTGGATCTGGAGAGTCAGGGTCCAGAGCACAGTGCTGCCTGCTAAAATTTTTTACTCCCTTCCCACATGAGCCTCTGGCCGTGTTGCAGCCTGCCAGACCTCCAGGCTTTCTCCTGAGGCAGTTCAAGCCCTTGGACAGAGCTTTGTGCTCTGGCCAGACTCTTTGTTCACCCCGTTAGCTTGGAATGTAACTTTGGACAAGAGCAGAAAGATGGTGTTTCCATTCCCTTTATTGAACTGAAAGAGAAGGGCTATTTCTGATCCTCTGAAACCCACGTGTCAACTATCCCAGCCAGCCATAGGGTAGGTTCTGGTTGCCCTTACATTTTTTCCTTTTTAATGCAGTGCTCTGGCTGACCATCCAGTCAGTGTTGTAGCTGCTTTTGCATCCCCCAGTGCAGAATAAAAGCAATCTGTGTGCTGCACAAATGCTTGTCCCTCCTCTCCAGTTGCTCAGTAGGGGTTGGAACTAGAAACCTGTTTTGGCTGTAATAAGAAAGCATTTGGATTAGAGAAGAAGTCAAGAAAGGCAGCTGTCTGGCAAAGCACCCTCTTCTTTGGTTGCAGATCAAGGCTGGAGATACTATGAACCCTCTTGTGACTTGCTGGATGCCCCAAAAATAAACTGACCCAGGTGGGACACCTATGCTCTCTAAGAGCATGGTTGAGTTGGCAGCTCCCTGTGCTTCTGGAAAGCTACTCCTCAGACAAACAGCAGCTATGAACCTTGCATGGGAAAGTATTTCCTTCATTGACTTGGCTTCTAATTCTTTGAATAGCACTTTTTTTCTTTATGCAGCCATTCAGTCAGCCTGCCCTCTCTTTCAGTGCGAATGAACAGCAAAAGTACACGCAGAGTCTCAAGTCTTGCGGAGCACTGAGGGTTGGTTGGATGATGTTCTGGACCAGGACTCAGCCTGAGCCTGAAGAGGGCTTTGCCCCTTTCTGTGATGAGGTGCCACAACCACATGTGGCATCTGACTCCAGGTTGTGTTCAGGAGACATTCCCCCTCACCATTTTCCCCCAGCTCCCTTGGTGGCTGAGCTCCTGCTATCCAGGAGAGTGGCTTGCAGAAAGTACGTATTGGGGAGGGTGGACAGGTAGAGTGCTTTCTTTGGGGATTGCTTTCTTGGGTGGCTGCGTAATCTCGTACCAATAGATGGTGTTGCTGCAGCCTGCAATTCTGGAGCAGCTCAAAAGATAGAGTAGAACTGGAAAAGGCTCAGTGATGGCTGACAAGGATGATGGTGAAGGGTCTGGCACAACTTCTGTGCAAGGAGTGACTAAGTGAGCTGGGGAGTCCTCAGCCTGGACAGGAGGTAGAGGCAAAGAGGCTTGGGAATGTGATAGTCTATAAAGTCGTGTGATGTGGTTAGGAAGTAATTCATCTTCTTTTCCAGTATAAGAAATGAAAGACATGGTAGCTAGCAAGTAGCAGGTTCACTGCAAGCAGGAGGCTCGCTGCTCTGCACAGCTCCTTGCTGTGTCGTGGGTCAGGGAAGCCTGTGGCTTTAGGTGAAACCTGACAAATCCAGTGAGGAGAACTCCTTGGAGGGTTACTGCATGTATATAAACTGCAGCTGGCACAAGGTCTCTGAGCTGCAAATACTGGGGAGGATGTGGCTATACGCTGGCCAAAATGGTCCTTCCAGCTGCTGCAATCACTCTTTTATTCTGTAGTAAACTTTGCGTGTGGCACAGGTGGAAGCATTCAGTGGTTTGCCTGAATCTCTAGCCTGACATCCTCAGAGAAGTACTGTTGGCTCCCTCTCTCTCCAAACGCAGACCTCCTGTGGGAGTGTGGCAGCCACACTTCTCCTTCTGGAAGCCTGATCTCATATCCTGGCTCTGTTGTCACTTTGGCTGCAAGGCTCTGGTGTCTAGAAAGCCCAGTGGGGCTGTGGCACAGCAGGGTAGAGAAGCCCAGCCTTGGCTGAAAATTTCGGGATTGGCCAGCACCATCTGCAGTCAGTGCAGTGGAGGCGGGAGCTTGGCACTGACTGATGTCACCCAGATTGCTTGTAACATGCCAACCAAAAACCAGCTGGTATTGCCAGTAACATACCCTCTCAGTACTGGCATGAAGGAGCTAACAGTGCTCTTCTTCTCCTTGCTGGCTTGTGGCTTCCTGGACTGCATGAGGATGTGTGTGCATAAGTGAAATAATCAAGAGGAGGCTTTTATAGGATTTGAATCATTACATAAATGAAGGATAATACTCTGGTGATTTGTCAGCATTATTAATAAAAGATTAGATTCTCCAGGAATTTGATCTCCTGCTGGTAGGAGAGCATTACAGTGAGGTTTTTATTCTATTTTATAATGAATGAAGGCAATGAAGTGTAATGAAACAGGGCTACTAACACGGTCCAAGTGAGCAGGCAGCATGCTGGTGGTTTGGTGAGGGAAATTCAGGCAGCAGCCTTTCGAACCTGCCAGACCAGTGGGGCAGAGCTGTTGAGTGGAACTGAAAAGCCTTCAGAAGCACTGAGAGCTGTTGAGTGGAACTGAAAAGCCTTCAGAAGCACTGAGCCCTTTAAAATAGTGGGGTGGCTGAAGGCAAAAGTGGACTTGCACAGCCTGAAGCAGCCCCGTGCCCTCGTGGTGTGCTGCAGAGGCAGCTGTCCCGAGAGGCACAGCCTCTGGGGCACGTGGTCTCATACGGCCCGGGATGTACTCTAGAAAGGCTTTCCTTTTAGCATCGTCACCCTCTGCAGAGCTACTCATCTTTGAAGGGACTGCCATGGCGACTTGGTGGCACACACAGATTTGGCAAGCCCCTACTCTGGTGACCTTGCGTTGCCATCCAGTTTGAGAAGGGGTTGCTCTGTGCTTCTGCGAGCGATCCAGGCAAACTGGGACAAGAAATTGTTCCTGTGCTGAGCAGTTAAGGGACATGAAAAGAGCAGAGATGCTTCCTGCTCTTTCTGTGTCTTGCAGTACCAGAGGACGCAGCAGTGTGACAGGAGCTGCTCGAACCCCTACAGCTGTTTGCTGCTCTTGCTGACCACCGTTCCTCGTGAGCTCCCAGGCCTTTTGTGTAATGCCCGCTGTGCTGAGGTGACCTCAAGAGGGGCTGAAGGGTACAGGAGCAGCGTGTGGGCATTGATCTGCCTGGCTGCCATTTGTTGTACGTGCTCTGTGCTGCACAGGCTGGCTGACGTACATCTACCCTGTTTGGGTTTGTCTGGGTTGGTAGGGAGCTTTGACGCTGGGGCACACTGTGCTGGGCTGAGGGTGATTCACGTGTGATTGGGGCAGTGGTGAGAGCAGCCCTCAGCAGCTTGGGTCCACCAGGATCCCCCCTGAGGAAAAATAAAATGGGCCAAGGTGAGGAGAGGGAGAGATGCGGAAAAGGAGCAGGAGCTGATTGAGTAGAGAGGGATGATGGAAGTGAGTGTGGTGAAGGAATATGGGGCAAGAGAGGACGAGGAAAGGAAGAATGGGGAAAAAAATGCGGAATAAAAGGATGGAGAGTAGTGGGTCAGAGAGGGAAATAGGAAGAGGAGGTCACTGTAACACTGCCAACAAGAGACCAGATCCTGCTGTCTTGAAGAGAAGGTGAGGGACTGTCATGTTCCCTAACCTTGAGAAAGCTGAAGGGCTCTGCGGCAGATCAGGTGAGGCCTGGCTCCCCAGCACCCACCAGTAAGGGAAGGTTCCTCCTTGAGCCCTGCCCCATCAGAGGGGTGGGAGGAAGACCCTCTTCCCACCTTGGCCTGTGTGCTGGGCCTCAGCCCCAGGGCAAATCGGAGGGGAGCTGTTCTGTGAAGGCAGACCCTCTTCCCCACTTGCTTCTCCTGTTTACGTCTGTATCTATGTAATCCTGAAGAATGGAAGTTTCTTCTCCTTTCCTTAATGTCCACTTCTACCAACAACTCCCTTTGTGCACTTCAAGTCCCAAAAGCAGTCGCTGCCCGTCCTGCGTGTCCCTTGCTTGGGCTCAGCACTTGGCTTTGTGGTAAATCTCTGCTGCTGCTTGGCATTGGGCACCATGTGCTTCCAGCATCCTATGCAGGATGGGATTACACCTCTGGCCTCCTTGGACTTTGCCCAGGAACAAGAAGTGGGTGCAGACCTATGTCTGCTGCTGTTCCTCGGCTGCGCATAGTGCACCATCCTGTGTTCCTGCGAGTCCATCATCTCCGAACTTCCTGGGGTTCTAGAACCTGTGTTTGGTGGCAAAAGCTGAAGCTATGCTGTTGTCCTTTCACTCTAGCTAATCTGTGTCTGACTTAAACTGGTAAACCTTTGGCAATGATGTGTTCACAGGGAGAAAGGAATATTGTCATTCTTCATCTTAAAATATAAGTGACACCTTACACCCCAGTGGTGCTGCTGCTGGATCTGAAGCAGGGCTGGCAGTTCTCTCTTCTTGCTGAGTAACCGTGGCACTGTCTGTAACTGATGTCTGCTGGTGCTGGAGCTCTGCAGCGTTAGCAAGGAACGTGAGATGTGCAGAGGTGACACATGCCTGGTGGTGAGGGGAAGTTCGATGGGATCTTCTCGCTAAGCAACAGTATCGGTTTGACCTGGAGGTTAGTGATAAGCAGAAACTGATCTGGGCATGGACAGCTAATGACCAGTTCTAGAACTAAGTGATCCGATTTTTCCTTAGTGCATTTACCTCCTGCCCATTCGGTCCTGACTCCTAAGCTGTTGTCAGTCTGTGGCAGAAGAAGTTTGCATCTCCGTTACTGTCTGGCTATGGAAATAATTGCCTTTCAGGACAATTTCCATACAGGACAATTACCTATACTTTCTGGGAAGGCAGATGTAGAATCTCTGGACTCTTTCCACCTCCACAGTGACTGCTAAATTACTGCTCCTCTATAAAACTCACTCACTTGTTTTGTTTCTTTTCTCCACAGCCATGTGAAAGCAAAGGCAGAACCAGCAGACTTCTGTCTGATGAAACAAGCTCAGAAACACCGTCTCTTGTAAGTACCCAATCATCAGAGTGTCCAGTCCCTGCTGAGCATTACAGTGGTGCATTCGACCACTGCATTAATGGTCAAAACTGGTAGAGTCATCTGGAGGTCATTTGGTCCAACCAGATGTGCTCAAGCAGGGTCACCTAGAACTTGTTGCCCACATCCATACAGCTTTTGAATATCTCCAGGGATGGAGATCACCCAGCCTCTCTAGGCAGCTCGTTCCTGTGTTTCAGTCTTGCACACCTGAAGACCCTGCAAGAGGTGGCAGCTTTGATTTTCACCTTTACATAGTGCAGGGTGTTTGTAGGTGTCCTTCTGTCTTAGTCCCTATCAGACTCGGTCAATTCTAAATGGATTCAGTCTGCTTCTGCTTCTGTCTCATGTAAAATGTAAGTGAAGGGAGCACAGGAAACTGCACTTGCTCTGTTAAGAGTTCGCTTTCCCTGTCTCGTTGAAAAGAAAATGATGGCTTGGGCCTCCTGTGTATGGTCTGTGGGGTTTCAGCACAAACCCACACCAACTGTTTTTTGTTTCTCCTGGCCACAATTGTCATTTCTTGATGTAGAAAGTGAGTATGTCTGTACAGTGTCCCTCTGTGTGTCATGGACGATGTGGTTATCAATCAGGTGGTGCATCCCTTGTCTTGGCTTGCTGCAACATCCAGCTGTGGCTGAGCCTTTTGTGACACCAGGCCCATGTGGCTCTAGCTGACACCCTTCAGGAAAGCCTCCTGCAGTTGTGTAGGTGAGGAGCTCCTGGAACTCTGCATAGCCTCAGGAGCTACAGCTGCTCTGTTAGAACACTTCTGGGATGCTAACTTAGATGCCATACGTCTCTTAAGAGGGCATCTGTCTGTTGATATCTGCCAAACCTTTTCTTGTAAAATGAAGCACTAAATGCTTTTGAATAATTCCTGGACTTGGTTTGGCAACTCCTTATTCCTCTGTATAATCTCTTTATACTGCCACCAGGCATCAAGAACTTCATTTCCCCTCAGCACAACTCTCCTGGGGCTAGACACTGTGATCTGGCAGTGTTTGCCTTCTGTGATTCCTGTTTCCAGGATTTCTGTCAGTTCTGAGCCACTCAACTTTAAAATGGAGGATGAGGAGAATAGTCAGTCTACAGATCCCAGCACTGCCTCTCCAGCACACTCTGTGAAAACCCTCCTCTGTCTGAAACTGGCCAGTGTCAATGCTGGGAAGTCTTTCTGAATGAGTCCCTCCTTGGCTCATTGCAGAAGCCCAAGAGTCATGGCCTTGAGTGCCACCAGTGAGTGTCTCTTTGTGCTGGAACTCACAGGTGAGGAACACTGCTTGAGGAGGGACTTGTATACAGATCTAAATCTGAATAGGCAACTCCACCGCCATCTTCTGTATCAGCAAGCCGATGATCCCGTATGGCCGCCCTCTTCTACTCTGCACAAAACTGGACAGATGCACTGAGTAGTGGCACGTATCCTACCATAGTGGTCTGGGAAGTCTGTGCTGCTTGGGAGGGAAAAAAGTTTGGAGGAATGTCTTGGGGTTTATTTTCCAGGATGTTAGTTAGGACTGGAGGTTCCCTAAGCCTCAGCTTATTGCCTCAACTGCCACAACCCATGCTTCAGGTTTGACATCTCTCTGTTCCTCTGTCAGGGGCAGGGCTGGTGTTGAAGAGAAGGACCATACTAGGGAGGGAACTAACGGTGTGCTGCAAGCTGAAGAGCACTCTGCTGATCCACAGCAACTACTGAGAGCATGGAGATGCGAGTCTGGCTGGGCTGTGGAGAGCCTGGCAGTCTGTCTGAGGGAGGTGGGGAGGCTGCAATGGATGTGACTTATATGAAAACTCACTGGTTTTTATTTTACACCCCTGCTCTGTTCTTGTTCCTCCTTGCTTGCTTGCTTTTTAAGACAAGACCATTTCCACAGCAACCAGCTGTGACCAGGCATGCAGAGGTAATTCTGTCATGCTTCTCCCGTGGTGTCAGACTAGTGTTGCATATAGGATTACCAAGCCTCTACATTGAGCAGTAAAGATGAGCTCTCAAAAGCAGAATCTGCTTTTGTGCTAGTGCAGTCTGAAGTAGTTTTTATTCTTAGTGATTTACTAGATACCCACAGTCTCTTGATCCTGATTTGCTAGGGAAAAGCTCTAAAAAAAACATTTTCAAGTGATGCTGGACACTAACGTGATTGTTTCTGTCTCTGTGGCATGAGATCAAGTCTCTGGCTGCCATAAAGCTGGCAGCAATTTGAGCTTTGCTCTTGAGTAAATTAGGTTTATTTGTTGCACTGTTTCTTTCTGAGGTTTACACCCAGGATCACTCTGTCTGTACAGAAACCCACTGCTTTACGAGTTCTGTTCTTATCTGCTCAGTTCCTTTTGCATGAGACACTTAGCATTTGTGTGGTGTTTTTCTTTCCTCAGAGAGGAGGAAGTGGCTCGGTTTCATGAGGTCATCACCAATCCCAGGTACAGAGCCAACCCTCTCATGGCCATCAGCGAGCATCTCTCCAAGAGGCTGAGGCAGGACGAAGAAGGTAAACCCCTCTAGGGTGTCAGCTGGGACCAAACGTACACCCTGGAGCTGGTGCGAGGGCTCCAGCCTGCAAAGGAGCACATCACTAACGTGACCTCTCAGCCACTTCAGTCCTTGGAAGCAGTTCAGCAGATTCTTTAACCCAACAGTCCTGTTTTCTGTCTGCAGGAATAATGCAGTTCTCTCCTGACAGTGGCGGCTGCTCCTTGGCAAGCAGCCTGCAGAGAGCAGGGTGTTCTGCGAGATCTTTGTGCAGACATTAAGCTTCCTGCGAAGTGTCTTGACACCTTTTCTCTTCTTGTGAGCAGGCAATTTCTTAAATTGTGCCAGTGGCAATGTATCTGGTTTTTGTCATTTCCCTCCCCTTTCTGACAACTCTGTAACGAGATTCCCTACTGCTCTGTTGAGGTGGTTCAAGACCCCAAGCTGTGGAGCCCAGAAGGCTGTTGTAGATCTGTGTAAGGACTGATGCTGCTGTTCAGAGACGTTGTTTTATGTGAGAAATTTAGCTTTGGAATAAACATATCTTCACACAGTACTGAGTTTGTCTGGCTCTTGGTTTGGTAAATACTAATTGAAATACAGCCTTATTCCCATCACTGGAAAAATGACGTAAAAGAATGGGTTTTTTCGATGTGTACAGTGAACCACTAGACTGATGCTGCGGCATGCAACAGAAGTGACATGAAATCACTGAAGATCACATCTAACTCATAGACTTGCCTTCCTCCTACCCTGGAAGTGTGTGCTTTCCATGGGTGGTGGTGATCCCTTCTGGCAGATGTCGTGTTCCCTGCCTGGCCTGCCGTATAGGAAGCATCCCAAAACGTGTCCTGGCTGCAGGCTGTGAACTCCGCTGGTCATTTATGTGTTTGGGTCTGGGAACTGCTGCAGCGGGGAGAGGCCTTTCCTTCTGCCAAACACCAATTTTGACAAAACTCCAGTGAATTTTCCTGGCGACAACTGAAGGTAGGGCTCTTCCCTATTTGAGATGATCTTAATTTGACAGCCCAAAATGTCAGTGCTGTCTTTTGAACTGTACAAAAAGTTTTCTGATGCTTCATAACCTTGGAAAAGCAGCCTGCCTATTTTGGGTCAACTGTGAGGAGCATCTGAAACCTTTAAGGAAGAAATTTGCTCTGATGCCCAGACAGAGCATGGAAGCTGCAGCCGACTCTTACCCGTTAGTGCCTAAAACCAGCTGCAATGGGAGTGGCAGGAACCTTGATTGTACCCATCTCTTGCATCACTGGTAATGCTGCTTTTTTTCTCCCTCTAGGCTGGCACTGTTGAACAAAGGCAGTTTTCTAACGCCTGCCTCTTAGCCCTGGCAGTGCAGACGCTGTCGCTGATGCTGCCTCTTGTTAGAGGAATGGCACCATTCCACCCCTCCTCCCCCAAGGCCTGGCAGGAGAGTCCTGCTGGCCGAGGCCACAGAGAGGTGCTGGCTGTGTCCCATCCTGTGTCCCTGTTGCTCTCGGGCTGGCAGCGGGCTGGCAGGGCTCTCCTCTCCCCGATGGCTCCTGCGCCAGTGCTGGGAGGTGAAAGCTGCTGTGCGTGCTGTAATGCCCTGCGGGACCCAGGCTCTGGAAAGCAGAGGGCTGTGGTGGGGTCAAACAGCTCAGAATATCTCCCCACCTCCTGGTTGGTTCCTGCTTGCTCTCTTGCTGGTATCTGACTGTGTTTCTTTTGGGCTATGCTGGATTTTGAGCTCTGAACACCTGCCCCAGCTGCAGCCATGCTTCCCCTGCTCGTGCTATGCAGGCTGGGCACCGCAGTGGAGAGCTGGGCCTTGGACGTGGAGGCTGTGCACTAAAGGCATCTCCTGCCTGTGGCCTGCCACTGCTCTCACTGCTTGTGGCTCCCAACAGCCCCCGATGCGACTTGAACCAAGCTAAGGTTTTTGGCGTGATTTTCTCCGTAAGTCTACTGTTTACCTCATTTACCATCTCGTAGCTAGCTGCCTCCTGAGAAAGGCACCATCCTTGTGCTTAAATGGAAGGAAGGCACAAGATGAAGGAGGTGAAGTCACCCAAGTACAAAGGAGGATGAAGGCTGATTTTCTTGTTAGGGAACAGGGCACTCGGGGATGGAGAAGTGTATCTGGAGAGCAGGAGAGACAGAAGGCAGCTTGCGTGTCATATTGGAGGACTTCTGTTGCTTGTCTTCTGTACTTTGCAGGAGATTTGCAGCTCTCTTTTTGTCTTGTGGCTTTTAGATAATACATGACTGACGGAGAGAGCCCTGGCCTCCTTGTATGGCTGGGTCATGCAGTAGCCGAGCTGTGCCCTCATGCTTCCCTTCGCAGCAGCGGTGATGCGTGGCTCTGCATGGTCACAAATCGGTACAATAGCTGGAGAGAAGCCACAGGCCAGTTTATAAAATGCCATCCTGGGTTGTGCACTGCAGGTGGGATCACATCGCTCCCCTCAGAGATGCATGTGGTGCATCATGATCTGCTTCGCAGAGATCCAGCGGGAATGGTGATTTTGTTCGACAAGCACCAATTTCCTGGCACCATCTATTCTGCAGAGAGCGAGACCATCCCTCAAAGCCTCTGGAGAGTTAGTTGGATTGTTCCATGCACCTCTGTTCCAGAACAGTTTTTTCTTAGTAATTTCTCCCTAGGGTGAAAACAAATCTGGAAGGCTATCAATTCCTGCCTTCCCGGACTACTTAGTTTTCTTAAGTTCAGGCTGGACGGGGCTCTGAGCAACCTGATCTAGTTGAAGATGTCCCTGCTTATGGCAGGGGGGGTGGACTAGATGGCCTTTAAAGGTCCCTTCCAACCCAAAGATTCTATGATTCTTTTCACAGGTGGTTCCAAGTAACTTAGAGTTGAAGCAATGCTTGGATGGCCTGAAGTGCAATGTTAGGGGAAATCCTCAGCTGGCAGAAGGGCTAGTTATAGGTAGGTACTAGGGTAGATGTTGCTGTGGGTCATGTGCCAGAGACAGCCGCCTTCTCTCTCTAAGAGAGAGAAGAGAAGAGAAAGTGCCTGACAGCACTGCAGCCTTTTCTCAACCTGTGTAATTTTTTGTAAGAGGCCCTGCAGTTTGGGGCTGGAGTGGAAAAGGGATTTCTGCAATGCAAAACCAGCTCCAAGCACTTCAGAGCCCCAAAAAGCATCATCGGGTTGAAGGGCTCTGTGGTTTGTGTGGCTCTTCTAGGGTGTCATCAAGGCAGGGGCTGTCCCCATGTCTCAGCCTGCGCGTGGACTTCCCAGCACCTTTAGGTTGCCAGCTGTGGAGGTTATGGCCAGAGCTGGTCACTGGAAGTGTGGACGCCAACGGCGCAGTCGTCCAACACTCCACCCCTGCTCAGCCTGGCTGCTGGGTCCCATCCTTTCCCTTCAAACCCCTGAGAGCCAACAGAGCTGAAGCCTCATTTCCCGGGAAGCGACGGGGTGACTGACCAGGCGGAGGTTTTGAGCCGGGTGCCGCCACTCCGTACTGCCTGGTAGCGGTACCCGTGCTGGTGGCCCTCCGTCTGCATGCACAGCAGCACCATGCCGCACACTCGCACCTTTTCTTCACCTCAGATGGGCCGACGCCGTCACTTGGCTGTGTGTCTAGCTCTTAGCCCACTGTTTGAAAATGTTGGTCTCCTGGGTATTTAGCAGCAGTTAAACATGTGACTGTTTGAAACTACAGTTCACAGCCTGCTGCTGCAGGCATCTCCTGCCCCCGCCATCCCAGCAGTTGAGCAAAGGACTTAAAATCTGCCAGGAAACAGGCGTCTGAGACACAGAGTCGCCTTCGCAGTTGGCGTGTTTTCAGGATGATAAAAGCATTCATGCCAATTCTTTTTTTTTAGATAGCAGGGTGGGAAAAAATAGCTTCCAAGCTGTAAAGAGTAGTTGTGCCGGCGGGGAGGGTGGGGGCCTGACCCGGCAGCTCTAGACTTAGCAAGAAGTGAGTAAGCAGCGAATGCACTGCCAACTCAGGACTGGAAAAATTTGGGGCTACTTTTTTGCAGCTGTTTTCTTTCTTGTGGGTGATTTTGTGTTTGAAAGCTGTTCACAGAACCGTGTCTGAAAGCAGAAGACTGGGTATCCTGTCCATCTGGTGGTACCAGCGGATGTTTTCTGCTACACACAAAGCACCCAAAGCGGTGGGTGGAAGGGGATTCTCCTTTACCAGCAGCTCTCGGGGAGTGTCTTTGGTTTGCGGGTTGCAAAGGGATATTTTTTTATAGCAGCTCTTGCAGCTCCCATGTTTCTCCCTGGTACTGGCAATGGCCCATTGTGCTTTGTTTCTGCTGGAGCAGGGGTTGCATCAGGCCAGCGGCATGTCTCAGAAAAGTGAGGCGAGTCACACAAACCTGGCCCTGACCCTTCGTCTAACCCAAGGAAGTCCCTAGTGCGAGTACGTAGACTCCCTCCTCCTTCCTTCCGCTTTCTGGTTTTGCCCTGGAAAGTTTTCTTTACAGACCTTGTGCAAGCAGGTCCCCCATCCCATTTCTGTATGGAAAATGTGACTTACGCTGGGCAGAGAGTACGTCTGCTTACACTCTGCTTGAAGGTATGATGAGCCATGTTGGACCTGCGGCTTGCTTTCTTTTTAACTAGGCATGTGTGATGGCTTTTGCCAGTGTAACCCCTGCCAGCTCCGGCACCGAGGAACACGCCGGTGCTGTAGGGACCGGTGGGGCACAGCCGGCTGCCTCTGCGGCTACCAGGGGCAGCTTGTGGGGCTGGGGGCAGGCAGGTGAGCCCAGCGGAGCTCCCACCTTTGTGGGAGTTTTGCACCCCGGGAGTTTTTCACCTGGGAGTTTGCTCCTACGGTTTCCACCTAAAAAGCCTCCCGCTGTGACAGCAAGTTGTCCGGTGGCCCATGACTGGGAACCCATCCCAGGAAGTGCATCCCCTCCGGCTCCCCAGGTGGACTCGAACCTTCTTGGTAAATACAGTCTGTAATGGACTGCAAAAAACTTTAAACCATGCTGCTTTAGTCAAAATGGCTTTGTCAGTAAATGCTTTGGAATGGGGTAGAGAAATTAGAGGCAGTATCATC